TTCATTCCAAGGCCGCTCGGTATATTTCGACTGGACGGAGTTCTTGACCATCTAAGCAAGTTCAGTCGTGAAGAAAACAACCGCCAGGAATCTCGTGAAGATTTTATTAATCAAGTTTCTTTGTGAAAGTATGATATATGATTAATTTCATGTATAGATTAATGATTACAACATTTTAATGCTATCACTATTTTTATAATACTTGAATGTTCAAATTGTGTATCTACTGGATGATAAGATATTGAAATCCTTGCTTTGTTACTCTTTGGTATAATTTTGATATAACGTTCTGAAGGTTGCATCCTTGTGTGGACCAAACTGTTTTGAATTAAACATTTAAATGAAGGCAAATTACGAAAAGAGAAATCTTGTAAAATGTGTGGTTAGTGAAATGCACATCAGGCATTGCTGACCTATGCTTTGATATTAAAAATGCATGGCTTTATTTGCAGAACATAAGTTTAAGATAAAGAAGATCAGTGTAGTGCTGTTGTTTTGCAGTCAATCTTTTTTTGAGATGCTAAAGAAATTTCAACTACTTATATATCAATTAGTGTGATCTGTACCTTAGACTCACTAAGTCTCACGTGCACTGGTACATGTCCAATTTACCAGGTCATACCTAAGAAGTAATTTGTTATAACTCTAGCTGATGACTTCATTTCTTCAGGTCAGTTCCAGGTCTTACAGCAGCTGAATATGAAGCTACGCTTCGAAAGCTGTATACTGTCAGCACAGTGCAGGTTAGTAGCACAGTTATACTTAATACACTGTCATACCTAACACATTGCACACTGTCACACCTAACACACTGTCACACCTAACACATTGCACACTGTCACACCTAACACACAGTCACACCTAATAATCAATTGTGTCACCTAACACACAAAAAGGGGTGGGGAAAATGGGTAGCTTTTTTTTTTTGTTAAATGTGTACTATACAAATGTGAAATGTCCCACAGTTGTATTTTCATGTCTAAATAATTTTCAAAGATTATCCTTGTTTCTAATTCAGACCTATAAAACAATGAACCTCTCTAATTAAAGTACCTGATGTTGATTGTTCCTTTTGAAATGCCAGGAAGATTATGGGTGTCTGTATGAGTTATGATACATTTAGAATTAGTAAGTTATTAAAGTTCATTTCAAAATGGTATATAATATCAAAACCAAATCTAGGGACCAAGTGGTTTGTGAGTAAGAGAAAGTTATTTATTTCTCTAGGAAACTTAAATTTGGCACAAAAATGCACGTAGAATGATTTTGAGCTTAGCATGTTTGCATGGAAAATATCATGGTTAGAGAGATTAGATGAGTTATCCCCCCCCCCCTCCACCCCCACCACCACCACCCCCTCTCTACCCTATGTACCTTCTGATAGGTTTCAAGTCCTCATGTGATTTAATGTGCTTTATTACTGCTCCTCTGACACACCTGACACACACAAAGTGGAAAAAAAGTATTCTTGTTCTTTTTCAGGGATTCTGGAGTGTATATAACAATATACCAGAACCAGAGAAGCTAAATGTTCGCTACTGCTACCATTTAATGCGATATGAAATCAAACCAATGTGGTAAGTGTGACTATGAATATTGAACATATATGTTAAGATAAACATTCTCACATTTGAGCATGTAGGTTGCAATACTTGGATGTTATCCTATGAATGGTTATCTTTTGTATTTCAAGGGAAGACAGTGCAAATCTGAAAGGTGGCAACTGGAGGATAAAAGTGTATAAAGAAGACACAGTAAGTGATGATTTCAGAAAGAAAACATAAAGGAAACCAGGCAGCACCACATTGGGTGCATGCATGGCCCAGTCAGGCTTGGGGTTATCTACTTTCTCTGTGACAGTCTCTCCCCAGATGTGACCCTGTTATCTCTGCTTATTTCTACACCCAATATCTCTTGCTGCTTGATGAGGTTATTTTAATAAAAAACAAGCACAACATTGCTAGTTTATAAGGACAGTTTGTGTCAGAACATGAGATAAGGTGAAATGAAGACAGGTGCTAAAGGCATTTACTTTATATATGTTTCATCCTAGCAAGTGCTTATTGGTAAATGAAAAATTATTTGCTTATTTTCCAATTGCAGAATGCAGTTTGGAAAGAACTACTTTTAGCAGCAATAGGGGAGCAGTTTTCAGACAGCATGGCAAAAGGTAAAAAACACATCAGCACAGCTGAAAACACAGACACCTAACACCACTGCACTTGATGTGCTATGTTTTTATGACTCCATCCCCAAAATAGCTGGGTTAACAAAGTACAAATGTTTCTCTATATAAATAGAGTTGGACAAGTTATGTCATTACACACATACCTTCTTGTATAATCTCTGTGTTGCATTTCTTTGAACACATTACTGGTTGTTTTGGTAAGGAAAATGCTTGTATTGATAACATATTTCACATACAAGTTGTTTATAGTACAGTACAGTAAGGTAGTATATTGACCTGGCCATACCTAGGTTACATTAAACTTGGGTCTGGAATCTCCCCAGGTTTACTTTACTGATAAGGCTGACCCCATGGAAAGTGGGCTGAATGCCACTGGCATGCTTTGCCTTATCATATTTCAGTTTCTTGCAATGTCACATGTAGCACACTGTCACAGCTGTCACAATTGGCAATTCCAAAACTAACACAACATCACAACTAACAATATCTCCACTAACACAATTCCAAAACTGACACAATATCTCCACTAACACAATGTCACAACTGACATGATATCTCAACTAACACAATGCCACAACTGATATGATATAACATTATGTCCCCTCCAGGTGACGACATCAATGGAATCAGTGTCAGTATAAGAGAGAGAGATGATATATTGCAAATTTGGAACAAAGATTCATCCTTAGCAGACCAGTCAACAATAGTAGAAAAAGTAAAATCTTTATTGCCACATGTCCGATTCTCAGCCATGTTTTACAAAGGTAAGTATATGTCACAATCAGTTGCCAAGATTGGTAAATTCATAAATCGTAATCTGTGGCTGTTATATATATATATATATATATATATATATATATATATATATATATATTCTTTTTGCCCTTGAAGCCACCTTTAAAAATAATTACAAGGCTGCTAATACATTCTTCACTAAGAAAAGTCTGTTAACTAACATGAGAACAAAAAGTTAACATTTTTTCTAAGATTTATAGTAGGTGATTTTTGATAAATTCCTATACAGCATAGAGCTGGGCCTGCAGTTGATTCGCTATTTCTGTCTGTGTTCCAGCGTTTCAAACCCATCAGGCATTTGAGGGAGGTGCATACTCCCATCCCAGCAAGAGTTAGAGGTCCATTTCTGTAACCTACCAAAGACTGTGATGGTTCTAAGGACAACACACACACAGAGACATACACTCACTGGCGTGAACTGGCGCCCTCTCCTGGTGACTGGAGGTCAGAGGTCACTGAACTCTCATGATGAAGGCCTTGTTTGTAGTTTAGCTGTGAAAGATGTGGAATCATGGGATACCTGCCACTCAAAGTATAGGTGGCGCCACCAAACTACATAATAGATGAAGAATTATGAACTTCAAATAATTGCTGGAAAAAGGGACATATATTTGAGAAAGGTCAGTGTTGGCCTTGATTTTGCAGTTAGTGCAATATGAACCACTGCTTATAGGAAGGATGCTGATCCTGCGCCATAGGTGGCAGCACCAACCAATGCAACTTTCTCTACAGTAGGCAGAACAGTTTATTCCATAGGTATCTTTCACCAAACTACAGACGGCAGTGTTTAGTGATACTGCTTTCCCATAGGTGGCAGCAGTAGTCATCAGGGAGGACACAGTGGCGACTGGGAGAGGGCTCATGTTCTCATAGTGAGTAACTTTCCATACAGAAATGGATGGACTTTAAATGATGAGCTTACAAGCAATTTCTGGCTGTGTTTTGCACAGGCAGCTGACACTTTCTATGAAGTGTAAAGCCAGAAGGTTCTTCTAATATATGACTTTGAGAACTGCATTCCTAGAGTAAAGCTTCTATCAATAATGACATCAGTTTTGTAAATGTGCAGGGAGAGAGAAAGACATCTGCACTGAATGTGACATGTTAACCTTTGAGGGGAGTCATTTTGAAAAGTCTACAAGGTACTAAATTCAGTTGATCAAACTGTGTATGAAAAGTTAAATTAAGCAAGCTTTATGTTGTGATTTTGGTGGAGTGCTAGTTTTGGTGATATTGTCCACCATATGACTTGTAAACCAGTGTTCATCAGTAGCTTAATTGCTAATGTTTGTGCCATCTCACTGCCGCCTCTTGCTATCTGGAATCTGACAACAGCTTACACACATCTGGTCAAGACAAAATATCCCACAGTAATACACTGCCACACAGAACATACCATATACCATAACCCCACCCTCTCTGACAGCAGCTTACACACATCTGGTCAAGACAAAATATCCCACAGTAATACACTGCCACACAGAACATACCATATACTATAACCCCACCCTCTCTGACAGCAGCTTACACACATCTGGTCAAGACAAAATATCCCACTGTAATACACTGCCACACAGAACATACCATAGACCACCCTCTCTGACAGCAAACCTGTGTCATCATTTCATATAGAACTCATTCACTGGCATACAAACCAGCTAGTCTGTTCACCACTGAATAAATCTCAATGATTGATGTGGGTCACGTTGGTGCTCTCTCCTGGCCCCACATTGTGGTAAAGCTGTGGTCAGCAATCTGGTTTAATTCAATGTCACTTCATTTTGAATTTGAGCAGTGGATGTGTTGATAGTTGTGTGAATATAAACTGACTGGGCATTTATTTATTTTTTTATTGTGCCAATTGTAGCCAAACATGTTCAGCCAGTCTACTTGATTTTCACCATGATAAATTCATTGGCAGAAGCACCTGAAATGATTTGGTGCCTGGGCCAGTAAGGTCTGAATTCTGAAAACCAACAATTAAATGAGAATAACATGATAAATATATTATGTATAATGAAATCTGGTTTTTATCTGTTAGTGAGGTATGTATTCATTGAGGGTGTGGGGACAGATACAGATTGTATTGTGGGATATCTCTTCTTTGAGTGAAGATTTACATCAGTTACTTTGGCAAAATGTCACTAATAAATAGAAAATGACTTAATTGATAAAACTCTGAAGTACTTAATTGGTAAAAATTTGATTATATGGACATTTAACGTCTTAGGTACAAGCGAACATTTGTCTTCTTCACTACTGTAAAAAAATTTGTTTCATATTAAGAGTTAGTTGCTTTATTTAGTAAATATCTATTGAAAAAAAAAATTGAAAAAAAGTTGACAAAGTGCAGTAGTCACCCAATTAGGGTAAATTTAATGAATGAAGGTTGTCATGGAGGTTGTTGTCACTGCTAATGGAGGCAACCATGCTACTTTTAGTTAACAGTTCTAAGTATTATGTGCAAATATTTGAATACAGGTCTAATTTATATAGATATATACACACGGTTCAAACTGCTATTTATGTCCTGAATTGTATTAAAGTAACACTGGGATGTGGCTGCAGGCCAGAGGTTCACAGTGATAAAGCTGTATGTTCAACCCACAGCTGTAGTTACGGGGTGATACATGTAGCAGTTAAGGGTGATCATTTGAATGCACTGCTGTTAACTCCTGTAGTGTCCATAGCCAAGACATGTCCATAGCCTCCTGTATGTGTGTATTGGTACAGAGTACATTTAAAAAGTAGGAGAAAGAAGGCTTGAGGCTTGCAGGAGACTGGTATTTCAACCAGTGAGAAAAGAGAGAGAGAGACCATTCCCAGACCCTATTGTATTAACTGTGGATCGATCTATCTCCAAGGGTATTCTCACTAAATTGCAATAAACTTAAGCAGCTTAGATGTCTGTCACGCCTACTGAAACTGATAGTGGGTAAGAAATTATCGTTTATCAGCTTCAGTAGGCATGCCAGACATCTAAGCCGCTCTCGGTATGGAAACCTAGTCAGTGAGAGAGGAAGAGAGAGGTGGAGGAAAGAGAGAGAGAGAGAGAGAGAGAGGGAGGTAGAGAGAGAGAGAGAGGAGGAGAGAGAGAGATAGGGTGCTTTCCCAGAGATTTAGATCGATCTAAAGATTAAGTTTTAGATCGACCTAACTCCCTGGGGGTTCACGCTAAATTGCAGTCAGCCG